TTTCTAGAAAAAAAACTTCACTAAAACCTATTAACATGGGATCTAATTTCAAAGATCTCGAAGCGAAAAATAGAACCGTGAAAATGGTTCGGTTGTTGGACGCACGGTTCAAGAGATAAAATATTTTGAATAAAAAAATAAAGAAAAAAACTCTCAGATTGCGACAAGTGATAAGTGACATGCAGTGCGCCCATTTGTCAGCACCTAAAAAGAGTGTGGTGAGTAACCTTTTGCAAGGGTAAGGCCAATTCCAACGCAGGGACACAAACATACATGCTTTTTGTCTGTTTTTTGTCCGTTCGGGTCGGCCAAATGGACATTAGCTTGTCCGCTGACCCATAGGTACGCCCAACGAGGCCGACCTATTTCAACATTGTGAGATCTAAAAAAATCAACATTTTGAAACATAAAATATTTCACATTGCCATGAAAAGTACATTAACATAAAACCAAAATTGCCAGCATTTCAACATTTCAACTTAAAATTTTAAAAAAAGACAAAAAAGAACCCTAGATCTACTCCTGGCCATCACTGTCGTTGCCGCAGTCGTACACGGTGAGGTCGTCGTCGTTGTTGCTGGCACGGGCACCCTCGAGGTTGAGGTGCCACCTATCCGGTAGGTGCACGTCGGGCCACGACATTGGAGCTTGCCTCACGGTGGCTCGGCCCCGACGACCGGGACGATGAGCCAACATCGTCGTCGTGGTTTTCGGGCTTCCGCGGGATCCACTTCCATGACATTTTGGCCAACGAGTGGTGGTAGGCGGCAGTGGCTAGGGTTTGTCGGCTGTCGGGCAGAGGAGCTGAAGAAGACAGGGAAGTGAACTAGCCGGACCCTCCACTCGCACGTGTGGCATTGAAAAGGACCAGGGTGGAGGGGATGGCTAGCTGACGCGTGGGACCCTTCCACATGTGTGGATTAAATGGGGTCGGGTTTGTGGTTGGCCGGCTGACAGGCGGGCCTGAGGCACACAACAAAAGGATGCGCGACGTGTTCGTCTTGTGTCCATCTAGACGCAAATCGGTCCCGATTTGCCTCAGAAATGCGTCTAGACGGGACAAGACACATTTTGCATTTGCAGTCACGCGTAAGGCCGTTGGTTTGGCCATGCAGACCCAAACGAAACACCAAGGGATGGAAAGGGTCACCGCGTTGGAGTTGGTCTAACCCTTAACAAGTGGTTTCGTTGATCTATGTTGAAAATCATTTGTGTTGTCGTTTGAAGGCCCATTATGATTCGTTGATGGGTTACAGTCGATATTACGTGTTTCCTTTGGATTTTAGGTCGATTTTTGAAAATTAGCATAGATATTATCACACACACAGTTTTTAAGGCCCCACAGTGAATTGAGGTTTTCAATTTAGAATTGAATCGTTCAATTTTGACCCGGTAACAATTTTTTAAGGAGCTCCAATTATATGTACTCCAAACTTAAACATATTTGACTTTTTAAAAAATAAATACACTTATATTTCAAAAAGAGAGTAAATAAATTATGAAAACCTGACAACACCAATAGCGCAACAAAACATGTTCAATCCTTCTATTATGTATTTGAAGTACTATAAAGTAATCCCGCGCTCGTCGAATGTTGAAACAAAATGCAACAGAACCCATTGTCAGCCAGTGGAAGTTCAAATATACCCTTTATTAATTTATTCTTCACACATGAAATAGAATCGCAGGTGGCAACTCGGTGCTGCCCCAACTGAAGAAGACGCGTTGACATACACACACACACACACAGACGTGTCACAAGTACACGACCAAGCAACAACTACTACGTACCACCAATGACCGTACACACGATCGAACTTATTGCTTCCCCCCGGCCGGCCGGTCGGCTTACTCGACGCCGTGCATCTTCTTGAGCACGCCGATGAACTCGTAAATCTTGTCAGGCGAGTAGAGGCTCTTGGCGACGCTCTCCCGCTCGCCACACCGCTTTGCCCACGCCGCGATCTTCGGCGCCACCTCCGCCACGCTGAACTCGCCGTACTTCTCGTAGCTGTGGAACCACGACGTGAAGGGCGCGAACGCGGCGTCGACGAACCCGAAGGCATCGCCGCCGAAGAAGGCCTTATCCCCGAGCGCCCCGTCCAGATTCTTGAGGATTTCCACCATCTCGGCCCGCGCCTGCGCGTGCGGCTCGCCCTTGAGCTTCCAGAGCCGGGTGCCGCAGTCGTAGACCTTCTTGTCGACGTAGTCGGCCCAGAAGCGAGCCTGCGAGCGCTCGTAGGGGTCGGAGGGGAGGAGGGACGGGGTGTCCGGGAAGGCGTCGTCGAGGTAGTTGAGGATGATGAGAGACTCGTTGACGGGGCGGCCGTCGTGGAGGAGCACTGGGATCTTCTTGTGGATGGGGTTGGAGCGGAGGAGGCGGTCGCTCTTGCCGGCCATGAGGTTCTCTTCGACGTACTCGTAGGGGAGGCCTTTTTCTGCAAGGGCGATGAGGCAGCGCTGCCCGAACGGGCTCACCCAGAAGTTCAGCAGCACCAGACCCTTCTCGCCCGCCATTGCTGTTGAGTTTGTGTTGGGTCAATCGACTTGTGTGTGTGTGTGTTTGTGTTGGGTGCGCTGTGTGCGGGTGGGGAGTGAGTATGGTGGGAGGACGAGGGTGAGGATTTATAGGCGGAGAGCAGCAGAGGGTGGGATCGTGTTTCCGGAATGGTCTAGTACGTCTCGAGATGAGAAGACCAAAAAAATCTGCTGGTGCGTGTGCGTCTACGTACCGGCCGGGGAATTCTGGGGCTTCGTTCGCCCGTTCGCCCGGTGTGTCACCGCTTGCGTCACGCACGATCCGCGCGTGCGCCAAGGGGACAGTGGCTGGCATGGGAGGTTACACCGCACTTCTGGCGCAGAAAACCGGGGCCGTGGACCAGGGAAAGAAGTGATACGTGGTGACGTACGATTGGCTTTGTTCTTGAAGAGGAGCGTGTACGTTCGACCAGGTGGAATGTTATTTTCCGTTTTTGTTTTGGCCAGGGAAAGTTCCTCCGTTATTTCAAAGTTTGGACTGGTTCACCTGCTCTTGACCCAGGTGACACTTTTCGGTATACTACACAACCAGCCAACCAAACCTGGGGCTCTTGACCCTAGTAAGCAAGAAAATATCGCGGAAAGGAAATTGCAGCTTATGCATCAACTCAATGTGGGTACAAAGAACAATGGTTGTGCTGATATGGAGACTATGGCACGGCGATAACGAGGTAACCATCGCACCTTCGGAGCCACCGGTACCGGAATAGCCCGCACGACTGAAGGCGGCGGTGGTTGTGTAATCAGATAGCGATATCTAGCACGGCGCACAGGCGGAGCATGGTGGCAGCCGGTGCCGCAGTCTTCATCAGTGCACGACAGTGACTTGTGTGGTAGTCTTCGGCGGCACGGGCGAAGCCAACCCCGATCTTCAATGTGTGCTGCCTGATTTGGTTCGCGGGCTGTGGCCGATACCCAGTGGTGGAGGCAGGAACAATTTTCAGTTGTGGCCAAGGTTACCTAGTATATGGTGTCTCAGTTCGTGTAGATCACGAAGAGTGGCAGAGTTGCATGTCGGAGGGAAAATCCATCACGGATGCCATCTTCATCAACCTTCCCGCCTTGATGATGATGTGTGAGTAGTTTTCACAGGACCTACGGGTTTATAGCAGTAGCTAGATGACTCTTTCTCACTATCTCTTTTGATTTTCAATACAATGATTTCATCTGAGATCAATCCGATGTAAACCTTGTAGTGTATTTGTTGGGATTTGATGAATTGTGGGTTTATGACCAGATTATTCATTGAAAGTAATTGAGTTTTTGCTGAGATTTGTTATGTGTGATTTTATAGCCTTGTATTTCTCTCTATTTGTCTATCTCTTTTGGCCAATTAGATTGATTTATCTTCAGTGGGAGAGGTGCCTGGTAGTAGGTTCAATCTTGCAGTGTCCTTACTCTGTGACAGGAGGAATTGCAAGGCTCGTATTTGTATTGTTGCTACTAAGGGTAGACGATGGGGCTCAACCATATTATTTGGTCTTACTTTGTCTACATTATGTCATCATGCTTCAAGCATTACTCTGTTTGTTCTGAACTTAATACTTTGAGATGCATGCTGGATAACGGTCTTGGGGTGGAGTAATAGTAGTAGATGCAGATAGATGTTGGTCTACTTGTCTCGGACGTAATGCCTATATATTGATTAACGTCATAACTATGCACTTTTCTATCAATTGCTCAACAGTAATTTGTTTACCCACCGTTGCTTTTCTCATGAGAGAGATGCCTCTAGTGAACGCTATGGCCCGTGGGTCCATTCACTTTATATTTAATAAAACCCTGAAAAATACTTGCTGCAATTTATTTACTTTTATTTCCTTTACAATTTATCTATCTATTACTATCAGAATTAATCCTTGCAATTAGCGACTATAAGGGGATTGACAGCCCTCTTGCCCGCGTTGGGTGCAAGTATTTGTTGTGTGTGTGTGTGTGTGTGTGTGTGTGTGTGTGTGTGTGTGTGTGTGTGTGTGTGTGTGCAGGTACTGCTTACATTTGTTTGCGTGAGTCTCCTACTGGTTCGATAACATTGGTTCTTAACTGAGGAAAATACTATCTGCTACTATACTACATCACTCTTCCTCTTTGGGGAAATCCCAACGCCTATCACAAGTAGCATGCATCACTAACACCACAGGCAGCATCTTCCATCAACTATCCATCCACATCTTCAGATGAATCTCTGTTAGCATCAACATGCAAATTATATTAATCCCTTTCCTCCTTATCTCTATCATCTACTGGAATTCTAAAAAGAACTGCCATATCAATGTCAGCCATTGGTGCAGTGAACAAATCTGTAGGGTCATCTAATTCTACTGAATTCCAATAAATAGAAGCACCTTTCCAACACCTTCTTCAGTTGTCTTGGGTGTCGAGGATTGGCCAAGACATAGGACCACCATGTAGGGATGTGGATCGACTTCTACATCATTGGCAAGGAAATCTTCATATGAGCCTGAATCCGCCTACTCCTCCAATGCTTCCCTCGTGTAAATGTTTATAAAATATGAAGCACATTTTTGCAACTAACGCTAATTTAGTTGTTTTGCATAACTCGTATTGCTTACATATACATTTGGACAGCTTACTGGAACGTGTCTTCAGACACACATAAGATACTAGATAGGAGGCATGTCTCTGTAGGTACAACTCTTACTTGGCAGGAGATGGACATTCTAGTTGAGTTTGTGGACATCATCCACGACAGTGCTGTGGATGTCCAAGCTGGCCCATACAATGGGTCATTTTGTGCCATTAGTACACTTGCTAACAAAGAGTAATGTCTAGAAGGACAAGCCACTCCTAGTAAGATTGCATTGCAATTTGTATTCAGTGTCAAGTTATTCATGTTTTGAAATATACACATGTATGTTTACTAATTGTGTGTTTTGCAACAAAAACTCGCATATGTTGTGGTGCCTGAGCAAATGCAGAATCGAGGTAGTGTTGACATGCGAATTGTCATCTCTAACATGATTGAGATTGCAACCACGTACTCCATGTCATGAGAGGATGGACGTCTTGTCGTCAATGGTTGGAAGGACATTCATGACAACTACTAATATGATGAAGGTGACAAGTTGATCGTCGTGCTCTACCTAAGACATGTTGATGAGCCAGTCCCCTTCATGCGTACCATCTACAACTGGGAGGTTGACGATGACGAGTAGGCTTGCTAGGTTCCTTAGTATCATGTGTCAAGAACTTGTGATGCGTAGTAAAAGTACTCCTCTGCCGTGTTGCACGCTTGTCGTACTAAGTAGTTGCTTTTGAAATGTGTTAATTAAGTACTTTATTAAGTGTCTAACGACAATTATCAGTTTGAGTCGATGTTTGTGAATACTAGTTATTGGTTAAAGTGCATGTGCAACTTCATTATTTGGATCCTTATTTTGCTGCCAATGAACCAATTTCCAACCAAATGTAGCAAGTGCAAATTTGGTGCAGAAGTATACTGCATGTTAGTAGTGTTCCAAAGCCCGTAAGGCATGCTGCTAGTTTTGACTACATTTGTAGCGTTCAGCCCCAAACGCTACTGAAGTGAAAGTACAAGCAACGTCTGGCGTGAATGCTGCTAAGATAGGACCTAGTAGCAGCGTTTAGTTGAGATACTGCTGAGGGAGTCCTGGACTAAGGGGTCCTCGGGCATCCGGTCTATTCAATGTGGGCTGGACTAATGGGCTGGCAAGATACAAGGAAGAAGACCACTTCTCGTGTCCGGTTGGGACTCCCGTATACGTGAACGGCAAGTTTAGGTGTCCGGATATACTATTTCCTTTTTGTTAAACCGACTTTGTACAACCCTAAGCCCCTCTGGTATCTATATAAACTGGAGGGTTTTAGACCGGAGGCAGGATCAAAACATTGATAGGCTAGCCAAGCTAGGGTTTAGCCACAACGATCTCGAGAAAGATCAACTCTTGTAACCCCTATACCCATCGAATATAATCAAGCAGGAGTAGGGTTTTACCTCCATTAAGAGGGCCCGAACCTGGGTAAACACGGTGTCCCTTTGATCATTGTTACCATTGATCTTTAGACATACATCTTAGGCCCGCCTACCCGAGATCTGCCAGTTTTGACACTGACATTGGTGCTTTCACTGAGAGCTCCGTTGTGTTGTCAATACAAGGATCGATGGCTTGCCTCTTCATCAACGAAGATGCTGTGTCTAGGGAAACTTTTCTCCCTGGACAGGTCTTTGTGTTCGGCGGCTTCGCGCTTCGTGCCAACTTGACCGACCACCTTGAGCAGGTCGACAGTTACGCCCCCGGCCACCAGATCAGGTTCGGAAATCTGAACTACGTCGCCAATATCTGAGGAGATCTGATCTTTGAGGGGTTTGCGGCCTCGGGTGCCTCCCCCTACCCCCACGAAGGAAGCCCTTCAGATCTGCTCTTAGATCCCGTCCAGGGGTCGACACTCGCACCCGCCTCGGCCTTAGATTCGGAGCAGGTCGTATCATCCGCAGATGGGACGATCAACCCCGCCAGACTCTTTTCTATCATGGAACTTCCGATCAGAGACCCAGATGCAATCTTGGACTCGCCTCTGGGTGACAACTCCAAACTATCAAAGTCTGCGTCGATCAGGCCTAACCAGGTGTCTATCACCAAACTCAGCCTACAGATCCGCAGACTCCTACCCAGCTTTTTCCCTTAGACGAAGCAATGGGCTTAATGCGGTCTCTCGCCATCACGGAAGCTTTGCCTCCGAACTGCACCCAGCATGGGCTGGGGGCTGAGAGCGGGGAATTTTATGACCCGCCCACCACCCACTTAATAGCCACTATCGAGGATTTAACCGACATGCTGGAATACGCGTCCGAAGACATCGACAGTATGGATGACGATGCCGACGCCGAATCAAGCCAAGTCCCACCTATCACAGAGCGTTGGACGACTACTTCTACCTATGACGTATACATGGTGGACACTCTTGATAAAAAGGATGATGAGGATAATTAGAATCCC